CCACTGTTCATCCTCCTTTCAATAAATCTTTTATTGCAGGGTCCTCTTCTTAATGTCAGCAGTATCAACCACAGACCTTACTCTTCCTTTTCCTTATCCTTTCCTCCTCTCTCCGGGAAGCACAGGAGAGTCCTCACAGTGCCTTGCGTGCCTCGTCTTCAACAAGGGGCACTTCAGCCCCGCGCACCCAGCACTCAACGCCAACTGGCCACATAACCACACAAAGCTGCAGGACTGCCCACAATCGAGCTGTTCCATGAGGCCTTCCTTGCAGTGACCTTCAGGGGCCAGAGCCAGAGACTGTCCCCAGGCTGCACATCCCGAGGCAATCCTTGAGCCTTCTGTGAGGCCAAGGTTCCCCTGGTGCCAGTGAGATGTGTATGTCCTTCACAGACTCGCCAGGGAAGCGGCGGAGTCCCCATCCCTGGAGGTGTTCAAAATAAATGTAGATGTGGCACTCCAGGACATGGTTTAGCAGGCATGGTGGTGTGGGGTTGATCTTAGAGGTCTTTTCCCACCTTAACGATTCTATGATTCACAGCGCCGAGGAGGACACGCTCACTCTTCTGGTGTCATTGCTGGTTCATTCTCACCATTTGTGTGAGGCTGGGGATAAAGATACTCGCCTGCAGCCCCTGAAACCAGTGACTGCTCTTAAAACATGAGCATTCACACACTGTAGGTTTTGAGGTCCAAATGTCCACAGCTCACCAGCATCACCAGTGTTTTTAAGCAGCAGCAATTCTTTCATCTGATAAAGCTGCAGTCTGTGGAGAGTTCACAATAAGCACCGACCTCCCATTTAGCATCCCTCCCTCCCAGACCGCTGGGGACAGCAATCTTTCAAGGCTGTTAATAACTTTATCTGGAAAACACATACTTTTTACAGGAGGGCTCATTTCTTTCACTAAGGGACCACAAGGAAAGCTTCCAGACAGAGCGCTGCCAGCCTCCGAGAGGGCTGCCCAGAACCTGAGCAGCAAAGCTGCTTTCTCCTCAAGGCAGCTACGGAAATCCTAGGCTTGCAAATAGTGAGATTTTGCCCACTTGGACTTGTTTCGTGTTTAATGTGAATTGAACGCCAATAACTAAGGACTAAATCCCTAGCCCAGACTTCTGATTCTGCGCACACGCGAATGATTGCTGATCGTATCCCGCTCTTGTTGAAAGGCAATCCTTCCCCCTACTTAATTAACAGCCCTCTTCAAATTCCACCAGTCTTCATGTAAACATCCCATCAAATAAGCTTATCTCTACTACTGCTAACTTAGGATTTAAATAAATAATGCAAGCCCTTTAGGTTTACAAGGAAAATAAGTAACACACCTGCCTGGACAAAAATTATTAGTGTTATTTAGTTGGGTTACAAACCCAACTAAAGTTATAAGTCAATATTCAGTATGTGAATTAATTCATTATTTATATTATGTCTGAGCACTCCCTTCAAGCGCATCTTTTGTGGATTGCCATTTCAAAAGCAGAATTTCATGTTTATTGCTACTTTTAGTGCAAAAGTTTGGGCCGGTACTTTTTATGACAGAAGACTTTAAAGACCAAAAGGGATTGTTAAGTAACAGCTACCGACCAAAAGAGCCTATGCAGCTACTGCTATCAAGCTTGAAAGATTTTTTTTTTTAGCTTAGGCAACATGACAGTAACACACCCAGTCATAACAAACCACAAAGTGATGAAGAGTTCATCCTACCCCTATCTAAAGTTAAGTAAGGGAGGTGTTCAGTAAGCTCCTACTATTTTGCAGCTTCTGCAATATGTAGCTCTTACTGTAGAACTATCACCATGCATTTCATTCACGAGTGAAATAGAAAGAAAATACAAAAGTTAGAAAACCTAACAAAACACCACCCAAAAAACCAGTGAGTAAATAGAACAAACTTAATTCAGCTTAATCCACAGAGAAAATTTAGCTTATTGAATTCTGCTCACTGAACATTGATTCACCTAGAGGATGAAAAACTCTGAGAGGGCTTTATCCTTAGTTATATAAACATTCCTGAATGTAATAAGTATTTAAAAGCTCACAGAAGAGAAAGAGGTGATGTCTATGTCAAAAAAAACAAGCAGAAAGAAAAGACGTTTCAATTCTGTGAGTCACTTCATCTTCCAAATTAAGTGAAATTTTCAAATTCAGAAAGAATATTTAAAAAAAAAAGATGCAAAAGTAAATGGTTTGCAAGTATAACTAGCATACTTTTTGTTTCTAATGGGCAGTGTTAGCTGCAGAGAAAAAAAAACAGTAACATTCAAGCTTTGGACAAAGTCCTTAGACTAGGTTTGCCTTCCCTTCCTTCTTCCATCAGATGTGAAGAGAAGCACACCATCTTCACGATTAAAGGTACTGTTATATTCAACAGAAGAATGTGAGCTATAGTCTATGAAGGAGCACACAGAAATCTTAAAGCTCCCCACTCCCCCCTCCCATCCCAGGGTGATTCATGCACACAGAAGATACAGGCCATGAACCCTTGGCACATATCTTAAAGCAGTACACAGCAATCTACATCCCTCCTATCTTATACCAAATAGTCAAGACAAATAGCTATTCAATCCTACAATAAAGAAATAAAAAGTTCTATGTGCCACACTTCAGCTGAACTCCTTCCCCTTTTTTCTGCTAATCTGAGAAAAACTGTACGGTCTCCATCAGAAGGGGTATGTTCCTACAGGCATTTGTGGTGGAGGCACGAGGAGTCACAGAGCTGATCTGATCCAGCCCAAAATCCCTCTCAGCACTGACAGCTCTTTAGCCTGGTTGTGTGAAAGGCTGACAGCATCTACAGCCAACAACTATCGATGGAGCAACAGAATAATTGGCCTGGCACGTATGCCCCTGCTTTTATTTCCCGTGATCCTGATGATAAGGGTGGAGGGGGGAAGCCAGGGAGGATCAATCCAACACAAAAGCCGGACTGGTGGGGTCATTCTTCAGAGGGAGCCTGGAGCAATGTTCCAATCTGTATTCCAAACAGCAAAACAAACTGCACCTTCACAGGGCCCATTTCTGCTACCCAAATTCGCGTGTTTTTTTTTAGCTTTTCCTCTTTGCTTCTGAAAACCCATCTTCAGGTAGTACCCACTAACATCCTGCGTCCCAGTTTCATTCACTGTAATTGTGATCTGCGTTGACAGGGTTTCCTTCCTTACGGAGGTGTCGTGAGGATTACAGTCAAAAGGCAGCCTGCTACTTCAGCACAGAGAAACAAGGGATATTTTGAAAGCAAACCAAGAAATCCTCTTCAGGGCATGACTGAGAAAAAGAGCATCGTATAGGAAATACGAGGTGGCCACAAATGGAACGTGAGGCTTACAGTTCAAGATAAATGGTTGCTTCAATCACTGTCGCTGCCCCTGCTGCTCAGGGGTTTAGGCAGAGGTCTTGCCCCCTTCATGCAAACTATAGTAATCTTCTCTCATACACAAGTATGACTCTACACAAAATATATACTATGGTAGTTTCTTTAACAGGAAGGAAATGGTGTAATGGTGTTCTTCAAAAAGTGTACAGCTGTTACAGGTATTTAACTAGGGAATTCTGTGGAAGATATCTTTGTAAGGATTTTCTCCTGTAACCTGAACACCCAAAACTTGTGTAGAGCAGTAGAAATTTTTGGATACACAAAAACTGACAGGTTTGCCCTTGGAGAGAAACAGTCTTAAAAATAAAAAAAAAAAATTTAAAAAAAGTTTTAAAAGAAAGAAAAAGTATCTTAATCCAAAACGCACACAACTTTTTCGCGATGAAAATGGGAGTGATCTGATAACAGACGTAATCCTCCCTCTTTGATCAACACAGCAAAGATAAAACACCAAAAATACTTACAATTCCTAAGGCAAGTTCCTTCTACATCTGCTTTAGGCTATTTTGGCTGTAGCATTTATGTACTCTAATTATTTTGTGCATTAAATACCATAAATATCCCTGTTGATTTGCAATCTATTTGTGGGTTCCGACATACAGCTGTATTTCATTTGGTTGAGAGGACATTCTGCAAGTAGGACTTGTACACCAACAGATTTCATGGACAATCATTATTATTTGTGGATAAACCAGTGATGCTACGAGCTTTCCTCTATGCCACAGTTGAATTTTATGCCTGTGTACCTATACCTACGTGTACCTCTGTAGGAGAGAGGAAGAACATTTACGTATGACTCACTTTGAAAGCAAGAGAACAATCCTTTAGCTTCACGGGGAAGGAACTTTGCAGTCCCTTTGCAACACACAAAATACCTTTGCAAGCAAAAAACCCTAGCAATTTCCTCAGAGACAACAGATTTCTCTCAAAGACAACACACAAGATTAATAAACATATTCTCTCTTCTTACGAGTAAGCCCCCTCCCCAAATTAGCTTAACCTACTGTCCATATAGCACAACATCAAGTATTTCTCCATTTTCTGCACGCTTTTGGGATTCTATTGATAGCTGCTATCTGCACAAGGTATTTTGTTTGACTGGCATGCACATAATACATTTTGTTTAGCACATCAGGAACAAGAAATAGAACTGAAGAACAAGGTATATCTCATAAGACAATCATGCAAGTTACATCCACCTACCTGTACTAGTGCGATATGTGCCTGTATGTGCTGGTTGCAGAGGGTCCCCCTGACTCTGGCTGAGACTCCTCATAGGGGGCTTCTGATAAACTCTGTCTTCGTAAATAGGATCTATATGGTGTTCTGGAGACTGCAGTGCCCTTAACTCGGAGCCAAGGTGGCTGTGCTGGCTGCTGTAAGACGCCCGAGACCCAGCTGCAAATAGATTTAAGAGAGAGAAAAAAAATGACAAATACAGGATCTGACTTTAGTAAAAGTTTACTTGAAAGTAGCACTCAAACACAAAAGAAACCCCAAACAAAATAAAGAAATAAATGTTTTCAACATACAAATATAAACAGCATGCAAAGGCAGCAACAGTTCCAGTTAATCATTTCACTTGCATCATCCAGCTGCCTGCATCTACTCCAAAACCTCATTTCTTGCAAGCAAACTATGTATTTTGCAGAGATAGATATGGTATCATCACTTCTAAAACAGAGGCCAAAAAAACCCAACCTCTCTGAAAAAAGCACAAAAAAAAGGGGGATGAGGTGCGGGGAGAAAAGCCATGTGATCTAGGAATACCCTAGACCAAAGGGGTCCAACTGAAGAACCAGGAACGGGGGAGAAGAAAGAAGCAGCAGTCAGAACTAGTTTCACATGTTATACCCATCTCTTACGATCTACAAATTAAATAAGCTAAAGCTGATGAACAGGTATATGAATACTGCTCTTCCTGCTGCTTCAGTAAACTACAACAGAAGTCATGCCTTATAAACATTTTGCCCTCAATGATTTAAAAAAATCATATTGCTAAGACTTTCTACAACTTAAATATCCTCAGAGGATGAATAAATTACACACGCCTCCCAGAAAAAACTATTTTAAGGATACAGGTTGTTTTTTGCCTGTTCAACAAGGCCAAGTGCAAGGTCCTGCACCTTGGTCAGGGCAATCCAAAACACAACCACAGGCTGGGCGGAGAGCGGCTCGAAAGCATCCCTGAGGAGGACTTGGGGGTACTGGTGGATGAGAAACTCAACATGAGCCATCAATGTGCGCTGGCAGCCCAGAAAGCCAACCGTATCCTGGGCTGCATCAAGAGAAGCGTGGCCAGCAGGTCGAGGGAGGGGATTCTGCCCCTCTACTCCACTCTCCTGAGACCCCACTTGGAATCCTGCGTCCAGCTCTGGAGCCCCCAACATGAGGAGGACATGGATGTGTTGGAGCGGGTCCAGAGGAGGGCCACGAAGATGATCAGAGGGCTGGAGTACCTCTCCTATGAGGACAGGCTAAGGACTTGGGGCTGTTCAGCCTGGAGAAGAGAAGGCTCTGGGGTGACCTTACAGCAGCCTTCCAGTACCCGAAGGGGCCTACAGGAAGGATGGAGAGGGACGCAAGGGTGTGTAGTGACAGGACAAGGGGGAACGGCTGTAAACTAAAAGAGGGCAGATTTAGACTGGATATTAGGAAGAAATTCTTCCCCATGAGGGTGGTGAGGCACTGGCACAGGCTGCCCAGAGAAGCTGTGGCTGCCCCCTCCCTGGCAGTGGTTCAAGGCCAGGTGGGATGGAGCTCTGAGCAACCTGGTCTGGTGGAAGGTGTCCCTGCTGATGGCAGGGGGGTTGGAACCAGATGATCTTTAAGGTCCCTTCCAACCCAAACCATTCTATGATTCTATGACATTAAAACATTATCTTCTTACAAATTATTTTCTATCATGGTATTTAAAAAAAGAGACTTATATTTCCAGCTGTGATTACTTTTGTCACTTATGTACTTCAGTTCTGTGGTCTGTTAGCAAGATTCCCAAGGAGAGTCATGCAGAAGCCATACAAACATGACACATTTTGAAGGCAAGAAGCAAGCAAATACACAAGCAGCACTTGACAAAGGCCAAGTCTATACCACAAAATTGTAACACGCTATTTAAGTGTTTAGAAAAAGCAATCAAAGATACAACTATTACACCCCTTGCTGATTCTCCTGTGAGGTTAAAATCCTGGATGTGGGCGATGTTCTACTAGCTTAGCATGTACTGCTCAGACCATCAGCCTAGCCATTCCTGCCGAAAATCTCTACCCCACTCATTGTGTCAGCTGTGGTTTTGTTGCATAAACAAACACTAAATGTTTTCCAAACACAAAGCACAGATGTAAAATAATGTGCGACAGCAATGTAGGATAGAAATGAGAAAGATACACAGACACAACGTTACTTAAACTTTAATACAAATTGCCTGGAGGAAAAGAGTAATTTATTCCATCTCTCTCTTTCTAATCAGCTTGTGCCATAGACGCATTTTCTTCTGAGTTTTTCAACGTATGCGCATGTTTTCAGTGGAATACCCTATTTGCATATTTTTCCCTTCAAACATTTTTCAGACTGACTTGCCATTAGCAAACTGCTGAAAGTAATTCTGTTGTTCCCCTTACTAGAAAGTCTGCCAAAAATCCCAAAGACATATTTTATCTATAACTACTGCAATTATGCAGGAAGTTGATATTACTATTACAGAATTAAATTCCTCATGGTCTGCATTTTCAAAATGCTCTTTAACCCCACATCTTTGCGACTGATTCTCGGAACAGCTGAATGGCTCCACCAAAGTCTAGTATCGTTCAGAGTGGCCTAAAACACATCCAGTTGCATCCAAATTTCACTGTGTACTTCGTTTAAGCTGTATTCACAGAAAAAATATACAGAAAAATTGAGGGCAACACTTCAGAGATTCAACAAACCAGACTTGCTACAGAATAAAGAATTATACTCCCTTCTGCAAGTACTACAGTACTACTAAGTCCTACAATTCTTTTGTCCATTTACAAATTAATAACGCTCTTTCAAACAACAGATTTTCTTCTTAATCCTGCTTCCAGTGCACGGAAAGATTTTTCCCATTGAATTTAGTGGCTGTATAACCCAAATATTAACATGTTCTCAAACAGCTATGCTGCTCTTCAGATGAGGTGGGCTTAATTCAACCTCGCTTCATACTCTACCGATAGTTGTGAATCTGCAAGTACTAATACTAAATGGAAGTTTAGTATTAGTTTATTATGCTAATATTTACACGTGCAGTATGCACATAAACCTCAGTTATTAAGACTGTAACACTACTGTACTAAACAGTAAGCATATGTATAAACAGAGAAACTTTCTAACGAAAACACTTTACAGTTCAAGCAAAGAAGACTCGACAAACAGTAGAAGAAAATCAACATAACTTGCCCAAAAACATCTAAGTGGCAATCCAAAAACAACTTCAAACCACCTGAACAACAACATTATGGGTAAATACCCCAAAGAAAGGTTTGAGAGTTAACACTCTCAGGGAGTTGACTGCCACTATTCCTCTAACATTTCAAGAAAACAAAGTTTCAACAGATAATTAAAATATTTTCATTTTAAAAACATAAATACTCTCAAATCTCAGAAATTCAGGCTGTCAGAACATGCATGTACTTTTTGAAGCACGTCTCAAACACCTTTTGTTTCAAGCAAAACTGATACTTTTCTACAGATTTCAACAGTACACTATTCCCACATTAGCAGATACCAATATTTATACACAAAATACTAGCACCCTTTAAATTTCTTAAGCCTCATTTAAAAAATCAGAAAACTTCTTAAAAGATGGAACCCCATCATTATTTTTAATGTTTATATTAAGCTGGTATTTCAAAGACTGGAATAGCATGTTCTGTTTTTGATTAAAATATCTCTTCCATTAAAATCCTTACATGTATGAATTTATTCAAGTCTCACTTAGGAGCAGCAGGTTTTATTGCATGTTTTATTTAAATATTGAAGTCAACTCACCAATAGCTATTATACCAAGTTATCTTTGTTGCCAATGCTGTATCATATCCAGTAAAGCTCGCACAGATAACCTTCAGAAAAACTAACACACAATTACACCTGAAGTTGACAAAAGACTTGTAGACTTATTTACAAAACAACAAAACGGGGGGGCGAGGGGGGGAAGTGCTATGGCTTTCAGACAACTGTCCCCTGCTGTACCTACAGACTCAGTCCCTCCACCATATTCTGCTGCTACTTTGGAAGACACTGGAAAGACGATTAATGTAACTGACGAAAACAAAGAGCGTGACCTCAAAGAACGGATGCCACTGAGAAAGAGAGGTAGAACATGCCTCCTGCCTGCCTCTTGGATCAGCAGCCAACAGCTACATCCTACCTGAAGCTGCAAGCTGATCTGTATCATCTGCTTCAGAAAACCTTGCATTAATACAGTCTAAAGTTCACAGAGGTCAGAAAAGCAACAAGGTCAGGGCGGAAGAGCAGCAACCAATATACTACCAGGAAGCAATAAAACATCGGACTACCAAGGCCCATTAGCACTCTTGCATTCAAGGAGGCTCATCGCCCTCAGAAGCGGGTTCCCTAAACCTAGTGGCATCATGAACGCATGGCTCACCCCAGGCCACGCTTGTCCAAACCCTGTTCGCAACCAGCTGCCATCCCTTCACCTCACTGACAACCCCTGGGCTGCTTGAAGCCAAAGGAGTGATGTGCATCGAGGTCACACACAGCTCTCCTTCTTATTCTGAGAACGGACTCATCCCCCCTCCCTGACCAACCCGCCCCTAAGAGCAACGCTGTTTTCCCTCGGGGAAGTGCAAGGCATCAAGCCCGTTAAAAGGCAGGTCTACCCGCAAGTTCAGAGACAACTCAGCATTAAACTTCCAGTTCTGCAAGCCGTCAGTTACAGATGATGTATTTAGCATCTGAGTGGACACAGATCTCTTATGACCACGGTTGTGAAGAAGCGGGTTTTTTTTCTCCCTTCTAGATCAAAAAACACGCAAACCCCCAAATCACTGAGAAGAGCTAAACCACTATTTAGGTGCTGAAGAAACCACTTGATAATTAATTCCTCAAATAGTTCAATCTTCAGTTTGACAAAAGACTGAGAAATTATTCAATTGCAATTCCAGAAATGCATCACAGTAGAAAGTATGGAGAAGACTAAAAGCCTCTAAAATAGCTGCAAGAGGCATCAAAAGTGAAGCAGACAAGTAACAAAAAAATAAATATAGGGTACATTCATGTCTTTTTTTTTTTTAGACAGAAACTGATCAACTCTAAGAACAAAGCATACAGAAAAGAAAGTCTTCTCTGTCCTGTGAAGTCCCCAAATCTGAAACCTGATGGAAACTGGAACGTCCCTTCTTCTGCATCTCTGGGGA